ATATTATATATATATATATAAATGGCGTGAAGGGCTTAACCCACATACCTCCGAAAGATAAGCGAGGGAATATGGGCTGACGATATTCGACTTCGAATGTCCCTTGCGAGACAGGAGAGCACCGATTATGTCCAGTTCTTCTGCTTGCTTGTGCTGCTCCTTCGTTTGTTCCCCCTCAGCATCGTCCGTGGCTGTGCTGCTGCTGAATGCGGCGGGCTTGGCGGGGGTAGTGCCTGTCTGCGGCTTTTGCTGCTGCTGCTGCTGCCTTATGGCCGTTTGTTGCTCTGAGTCCATCTCTGGCTCCTCTTTGCCTTCTATCAGCAGCGCATCTCCGGACAGCTGCTCAATACTCACAGGTCTGAGGTTCTTCTCTTCGCACTTCATGTGAAGCAAGTCGTCTATGTAAAGAATCTGAACAGGAAAGCGCTTAGCCCCTACGTAAATCTTCTCAGGATAATGGCTCTCGTCTGGCGCTTGTTCCTTCTGTTCCTGCTGCTCCTGGCGAGCATCTGCGGGTAATGCAGGCTTTTCATCTTTGGCCACGAAGCTGTCAGGAAACTTGGAGCTGCAGGACGCATCTGCGCTCTCCTTTGAGTCATCAACCCCTGATGTCACCCGCTTGAGGTGTATATCTGAAAAGTAGTTAAAGAACAAATTGCCCTCCATCGTGGCGCTCATCACCACCACCTTCAGTCGGCCTACTCGGCTCCGTAGCTGCAGCTTTAGTACCAACGATAATAAGTCCGCGTCGACATCTCTCTCATGGACCTCATCTAGTATTACATGAGTCACGCTGTCCAAGTATCCCTCACTACAGTCGCCTTCCCCCCTGTCAGTGCGCATCAACTCCGATTGCTCGCCCCCACGCTGCTGCTGTTGCTGCTTCTGACGCCTCTCCAGCAAGGCGAGCTTTCCAGCAGCCTCTAAGCTAAGTTCCTCTTCTGTCAATATGTGGGAGAGTGCAGGCTGCGCGTTGACGAGAATCTGCAGCAAGTAACCAGTGGTCATGAAGAAGACTTTTGTGCGGCGGCTGGTCCTGTTCTCGCCAGAAATGCGGTAGCCTACAACTCCCCCCGTATCCTCCCCCAACTCACGCGCAACCCTCTGCGCCAGAGAAATGCACGCAAGCCTTCGGGGCTGAGTCACGATGCACTTGAGAGGCCGATAATCCTTGAGAGATGGCAGCGGCAGGCTGTTGGATGAAGGCGGGGGCTCCTTGCCGCTCCTGATTGCCTGCAAAGCCCTCTGTATCGCCGCGTCCTGGTCCAAAAGGAACTTGGGCACCTGCGTACTCTTACCGCACCCGGTCTCACCTTGGATGCAAGTTATGAAGTTGTTGTTGATGTGGTCCAAGATCTTTTCACGGTGCTTGTGAATCGGCAAGTTTCCGACTCGCACGGCCGCTGAACCAACACCAGCCGCGCTGCTTCGCCAAGGCGTTCGCTGCTGCTGCACCGGAGGTAAGTGACCCACTGTTCCTGCCGGTTTTCCTCCTGACTCTCCCCCCCCTGCAGAACGGGCCGCTGCTGCTGCTGCTGCTCGGACGGCGGCGGTCGCAGGTGCAGCAGATGGTGCACGTCCTGCACCTGTTGCAGAAGCCCTGCCATCTGTGGAACAGCCACCGACACTGCCAGCACCCGCTGAATCCGTTGCTGCTGCAGATGACGGCACTGCACCTGCACACGCAGCTGTGCCTGTCGTTGCAGCTGCCCCAGCAGCAGCAGTGGTTGCCTCCTTATTCATGGTCGCGCTCGAGCGTATCTGTTTCCCTTTTTTGGGTTTTACAGGGAAGAAATAAGTTCGATACTGCGATATTCTTCGGAATGTCCCTCCTTCGCTCGAGCAAACGACAGCCCGGCCGCCGCTTGTCTGTCCTTGTTTTCCAGCAGCGCTTCTCCCTACTCTCTCTTCTCAAAACTCTCAGGAGGCGAAGATGCCACACTTAAAACGTTCTTTTGTCGCAGGAGCCGCCCTCAGGGCAGCTGCACAGGCGTCTGCCCCTACTGTGGGAAGACCCCACAGAAAGGAGAGCGGTACGGCTCCTTCAGAATGGAGAGATGCAGCCGAGTCCCCATTAAATGAAGTGGCTTTTAAAGGGTAAATCCAAAGAAAAAGACAAAGCAAAAACAGCCAGCCTTTGCTCAGCCCGCTCTTAGCAGCGGGACGTCGTCGTTGCTTGTGCTGCAGCAGACAGTCCAAAGAACGAAGTTGGGGGTCCCTAAAGTAAACTTCTCTGTGAAAAACGCATTTCTATGAATACCTTCCCTTACACAATAGCAACTCAACTTTCATAATGTAGAGAAGGACGATATTTTTTGATGTGCTGTGGGAGAGAGCGGCAAAGCCGCGCATAGCTGTACCAAGGGAGCGAAGGAACAACTTCGTCAACCCACCACCGTTCTTCTCGATATTTATTCCTTGTTTCAGACGACTTATTACACAATTCACTCATCACTAATGGCCAGGGGGAATCAGTTCGACTCGTTTGCCAAGGCCGTTCCCGCAGTGTTCTTTAGTGATCCAGATTAGGAGCCTGTTGCGAGGACAACAAAGGCCACCCTCGCCCAAGAACTATGAAAGATCTGCTCGTTACACCTCCACCGGGTATACCATGCCGCTACACTGCAGGTTTCTTAGTGCCTGAATGGTAACAAACCCAGCGCCGCAATGTGAAAATAGCGACGGCGGAACATTCCACATCGAAAAATGTTCAAACACGGAAAGAGATAATAAACAAACAGCCAGGCAGATAATGAGCAACTAGTCATGCATTATTCTTCGGCAGCGGGTCGTTCTGGGCATATTTGCCTCCTGCGACCCAATGTCCTTGGCATCCTTTCTTACCTGAGGTATATTTTGAGCTGCAATGGGAACACAACACTTAATACAAGAAATATCAAGAGCAACCCACATCCCTCCCCAGTCTACAGGCGTGGCGAGCTCAACGGCAGGACCTCCGGGGGCTACGGGAGGGGAGCCCGCTTGCCACCAATTGAAACGCACTTTTTTGCTGCAACTTAAGGTGCGAGATAGACCCGCACACAAGCACAAACAAAGTCTCCCCTTGGCTGTATGTACAGGCAAAGTAGACCATTGCTGAGAACGCTTGCTTGCCTGCCTCTTGCCAACTAGGACCGCGTAAGCGTTCATTTGCTTAATTCCGGCAGGTTGCCAACACAGCATATACGGCATCTCACACAAGCAACACAAGTTCTCGTCTCCTAATATTGACCACGAATATGGCTATATTGACTTGTATTTCTGGCAATTCACTTCGCATCCTTGGCGACCGTCGGCTGCTTGGGGTGTTCAGCCCACTACGTCTCGATGCACCACCGCCTGCAGCGTCTCGACGATGAGTTGCTTATCGGGGCTGCTCAAGACCTGGTGTTGAGGGTACCACCCAGGAACTCCCTTCCCCGTATGCAGAGCAAGTTGAACATTTTCGTGCTCCGGCTCCTGATAGTGTTGACCTCTCTTCTCTTCCCTGCTGAGTTTGCATGCAGCGAAAGCGTTCACACACTCACTTCAGACTTGCCAATATCGCACATACTATGCCACAATATGGGGAGACAAAAGGAATAATTAAACAGTGCAGTAGATCTGTATATGCTGCAGAGTCAGATTCTGTTGTTTCTAAGACCCGTTGACCTCCTCTGTACGCGAACCTCCTCCATTGTCGTCATGAATGTGTGGGTAAGATTGGGCTGTCGGGGGCTATAAACCACATCAAGCATTCCAACGGTTTGCGTTGAGTGTTCAGTTATCTCACGTCTTGCAAAACTTAGCTAACACCAACGCCAGCCCTGTTCACACCATCAAGCTGAAAGCAGCCGGTCGCTGCTTTTTTCTGCACGCGACACCCCTTTTGTGCGAAGAACCGACAGAATTTTTCCTAGTTACTTGCATATGGCAATTCTTTTTTTGTTGCTGCTGACGTGGGGTAGCTGTAGCGATTGTTGCACTACAGTGATGGCTTATATCAACCGCCGTTCTGGAATAACCCCGCAGACCCTGGATGGTTGTGTCTATCTGTAGGGGATGTGTAACGGATTGGCCGCTTCACATGGAAGTGCTTGGAAGATGCTTCAAGAAACGACAGATGGCGCACATCCGTCTCTGCATGAGTTATGCATGTGTTTTGTTTTGTTGTCCCTGCAGATTGTTGTTATATGCGGGACTACAGGTTGCTCTTTAGCGCGTAGGGAGTCCTGTAGGGGGATGCTACTTTCTACCACTTCGACCACCTATCCTGCGCCTCCGCATGCATGCATCAACTGCTGTAGAACCCTAACGCTTCTATATCCAACAAGGGTGCAGACTGCAAACTTAAGACAACGCACGCCTTTGCCCGTACCGCTCCGTCGCGTCGTGGTGGGCCCGCTAGCTGCAGGTTAACATCAGCTGCAGTAGATATGATCACAGCAGCATCCGTATAACTCATTACGACAAACGAAGCAGCCGCGGAACCCCAGATGAATCCCTTGCTAGGTGCTGTTTGCTCCACAAGTAGTGCAACGCATACAGGAAGTCTACAGCGTCGCGTGTAGTTTAAGCTCGGGCCTATATATATAATAGCATAGATAAAATGCTGAATGAGAAGACAAAGGAGGTAACAGGTTCAGTCAAAAACTATAACACTTCCCTTCGGCCCGTTATCCGTCCCGTTGGATCAGCCTCCAGTGGCCCTCTACCCCAACACGAGGGACAACACAACGCGTGCTGTTACCCAGAAGCGAAAGCCTCCGTTTTATTTGACTCTCTCAAATGCATATCATCTGCCTTATTTTCCTTCTTCTTTTCTAAGTAATCATGCTCACGCTCAACCCAAGGCTCTGTAGCCGTACTGGGGACACACGTCGCCATCGAGCTGTCCTCCGGGCGACCATCTGAAGCATTAACGTCGCAGGTCAGCTTGAAATCAAATCGGAAGCAGCGACATGTAAAACATAGCACTCTGCATGGATCTTGGAGTGCACTGGAAGGCTGCCAGCGGAAGGAACAGCAATAGCAACAGTACCAGCAGCAGTTGCTTATCAAGACATAGAAGGGCCCCGTGGGGCCCCCGCAGTCATCGTGAGGTCCCACCTTGTCTGCTGGCTCTATACTTTCTTCCTGCTTTTTTCTCAATTGTGCTGCGTTCTGTAGGAAACACATGGTCGTGGGCGACATCCTCCAACCTCTCAAGGTCAACAGCAGCAACGGCTGCTGCTGCAGCAAAGGCGCCTACAGCAGGTGCTGCTGCCACAACAAAGGAAGAAATCATACCCCGCAGCTACGCATGCATCGAGTGCCTCATTCAGCCTGACATCCGACATGAGCCGATTGCTTGCTCTCTACACATTGGAAGTATCAGACGCAGAATCCCGGCTCCAACGGCAGCTACAACGGAAGTACTCCACGCAGCGCAGAGTGCTGTGACAAATGGCAGCACCATATTTCTGAGCGTTAACGCACACAGGAAACTGCTGAAAAATGCAGAGAAGCATTGCTTAGGAGCGGTGAGTCACGGCGTTAATTTCTCTGGAAGAGTCGAAAGGCCGCAGCAGCACAAGGAAGGTAGCAGCAGGAGCTGCAGTAGCAGCATGTTTTGGCTGAACTCCTCCTTGCAGCAGCAGCACTTGGCGCTGCAGCAGCAAGTAACACCTCCCCAGGCCGAACTGCCGCCGGAGCAACAGCTGGCGGGGAGGAACCGGCAGCAACGGGTGTTGCTGGTGCAAAATCAGGTACTGCAGCAGCGGCTACTGACGCAAGAGCTCCAGGAGGAGCAGCTGCTGCAGTACCCACGGTATGCATATCCAGCAGCGGCTTTGTTTGGAGATCAACTACAGCAACAATTGCAAATACAGCCACTACAGCACCAGCAGCAGAAGCACGGCATCAATCTTGCGAGCAACGATCAGTACAATCTGCAGGTCCTGCTGCAGCAACGCGCAGCTGATGCATTTGCGGCGGCTTCTGCTGCTGCTGAGGCTGCATCGGAGGCGTTTACTGCAGCAGTGATAGCAGCAGCAGCTGCTGCTAACGCTTTCAGAGCTGCTGGTTCAGCGGCAACACCAGCAGTAGATCCAGGCAGCTCCTGATGCTGTCAGTTCAGGAAACTCTGCCCCAGTTGCTTCTTTGGTCTGACGCCAGTTCACCAGCTACAGTCGTAGCAGCAACAGCATCAATCTGCTGCAGTCAAGGGAGCAACAGCGGCAGTCTTGTAGACCCGATCATGCAGTTGTGTGTGCAGCAACTGCTGCATCGGCAGCAACTGCTGCTGCGTACTCAGCAGCGGCTGCAGCTCTTTACAGCTGTTCGGCCACCACAGCACAAGATGTCTTTTTGTTCTCAATCGCAGCAACAGCCGCAAGACGAAGTGCAGCAGCAGCAGCAGCAGCAGCGGGAGCAGCAACAGCGGCAACGTATGAAACCACGGCGCATACGTGCAGGGGATGGTGCTGCTTTCTTAGATGATCTTTCCCTTGAAACCAAAGGTAACGAATAGACTTTTTAAGCTGTCTCTGCTTTCCTTCTGCTACGGCACCCAGGTGCTGGACACACATTGCTGCGGAGGGTCAATGCTGCTGCATTTTCCTCCGTGGCTTTCGCTGCTGTTGTTGCTGTTGCTGCTTGTGCAGTGAAGAACTTCCTTAAGTGCTGCCTGCTGCTTCCAGCACGGCCTCGCCGCCTGCCGCTGCAGCTGCTGGTGAACAACTTGCAGCCCCTACTGCAGCAGCAGCAGCTCCAGCAGCAGCAGCGGTACCAAGCCCTGACACTGCCAATGCTGTTGAACGAGCAGCAGCAGCAACAACACCAACAACGAGGCGTATTTGACCTCATTCCTCGCCTTCTGCCTCCTTCTCCAAGCGACCGTTTGCTGCAGCTGCAGCAAACAAGAAACAACAGCAAGCAAGAATTGCAGCCAGCTGGCAGCAGCACCAGCATCATTCCGCCGCAGGTCCAACAGCCAGGCATGGGACGCTGCGTGTTGCGCCTCCGTACAGGAACGCCGACGCTGCAGGAGCTGCTGCTAAGTCTACCGCAGCAGCAACAGCTAGAGGGGCAGCAGCATAGCCAGTGGCAGAAGGGACCATTGCGTCGTCGACGGCAGGAACAGCTGAAGCTGCAGCAACAGCAGCGCAGGAGGCAGCAAGCGGCGCTGCACTTGGGGTGGAGAGTGCTGCTGCAGCATTTAGCAGCCCACGAAAATCTCGGCCTTTCTGAGGTGTACAGACTGCTTCGCTGCTGCGAGCAATTTCGTGGTATGCTACCGCTTTTCTTGTGTTTAAGGTTATACTGCTGCTGCTGCATTCGCTGCCAACTCTTCTCACTGCGTTCTCAATGACTTCGCGAGGGAATTATGCTCCACTGTTTGTGTTGCTGTGCTGCTGCAGAGACAGACCCAGCCCTGCTGCTGCTGCTGCTGCGCCGTGCCAGGTGTACCGATGAGGACGCTGCAGCAGTGCGCTCACTGGCGGGCATTATCGGCTGCCTTTCCCGCATGCACATTCTCACACCTGTTGGTTCTGCAGGTGCTCGTGGTGCTGCTCAACCTGCTGGTCCGACCGCTGCTGATGGGGCTGTTTCCGGTGGTACTGCCGTACCTGCCGGGGTGGTGGAGCACAACACAACTTTAAGCCTGCACGCCGGAGGCGCAAAAGCCACAGCGACAGAAGCAGCGCTAACAACTGCTGCCAGTGCAGTTGCTGCTGCAGTTGGACTTTCGGATGATCCAGAAGTGCTTCAGCAGCTGCCGCCACTGCTGTGTGTCTCTCCATTGGCTGCGGACACTATTTGCAGCGTTGCTACTGTCCAGGGCTGTAGAGCTGCCAAAGCAGGAGTTCACGTGTACACGCAGCTCCAAAAACAGGCAGTACTGCTGGTGCAACACACTGCTGCTGCCTTACCCCTGGCACTGCTAGAAGGACGGGCTGGGGGACAGGAAATCGGACTCATCTGGTCAGTGTTCGGGTTTGTTGCAGCTGCTGGCTTTGTGCATTGGCTGCTAGTTTCTTGTTGCTGTTGCTGCTTCAGTGGGTCTTGTGGCAATTCAGCTACAAGTGTCACTTTTGTTTATGTCTGTGAGGGAAGTAGTAGCCTTCGCCGGTGTTTCTGTGGTTCTGTGGTTCTTTGTCTTTGCAGTGAAGGTCTCGCTGCTGCACGGATAAGGAACAGTCAACTGGAGCGCTATTTGCTGTTGTGCGTCCACAGTGCAGCATGCCTCTGCCCTTTCCATTTCTCCATGACACTGGCTGCTGCAACAGTAGTTGCTCCTACATTAACAATAGACGCAGCATCAAGAGCGCATAAATTTGACTACATGCGTCGTACGTCTTTTCTGTGTTTGTTGTGGCGTTGCTGTTGCCTCAGATGGCTGTGCCCTTCCCTTTCAGATACTATGAGTGTTGAAAGCGATCCGTTTGCGCGGGAGTTCGGCCCTAGTCGCCAACAACAGCAGCAGCAAGAAGCGTTGGTGTCTCTGAATGCCCAGCATTTATTGTCGGTCCTGAAGTGGATGGCTCCTCTGCGCGCGGAAGCTAGTCAACAGCAGCAGCTACAGAAACAGCAGCAAGCGCGGAAGCCGCCTCCAAAAGCATCTGTGCCTGAGCCAGCAGTAGTAGGAACTGCTGAGCGGTCGTCAAATACCAATGCAGTGGATCTGCAACCATTTGTCTGGCTGTCAGCGTGGAGGCAGCTGGTGCTAAGGCTGCTGGGGTATCTCCCGCTCCTGCAGGTGCAGCAGCGTCTCGCGTTGTTGCAAGCAGCAGCAGCCGCAGATGATGATCTTGCGTGGCGTGTGTCTCTCGGGTGAGTATCCTCCTCTTTTTCCTGGTTGTTGTTACGGATACCACATGACTTTCTTGAAGGTTCAGAAACGACGGTTTATATGTAGACTTGTGTTTTAGCAAAACCAGGGAAAGATATTGTGCTTAAGCGAGAGAGAGGCAGACAGGAAGGCTGAGGCGCTGGGGTGTATTTAGGGGTTTGCTTCGCAGGTCCGTTCTGGACATTGTTGCAACAGAAGGCGCAGAAGGGCTTTCGCTGCAGCAGCAGGAGTTGCTTCTGGCTGCCATTGATGCTAGTACTACCTCGCCAGCCTCATGTCTGCCGTCAGCGCCGGAGCAAATGGCGAAGACTGTCTTGAGTATCTGTAGAGCTTTACCCCGCACCCTGCTGCTGCAGCGGCACAAAGCAGCAACCACCGCTGCAGTTACACCGTGGACTGCACTAACGGTCGCAACAGCAACCACTACAGCACCTGCATCGGCAGACACCCTATACGCTTTGTTGCTGCATTTGCCGCGCGCGGCCCTGGGAATAACAAAAGCGATAGCTGCAGCAGCAACGGCGGAAGCACCAGCAGGAGACTCAAGCCTGACAACAGCTGCAGTAGGGTCACGAACAGCATGTACATGTGAGCAAAGAGTAACCGCATCCGAGGGAGATGGCGCAGCAACGGCAACAGTACTGCATGAGGCATCTCACGCCTTCGAACTCATTTCTCACCAGGTGCTTCCAACCCTCAGGTGAGTCCTCATCATGCCGTTGGAACAGGAGCAGCAACGGGAGACGGCATCGCCGCCAGCAGCAACAGCAACAGCAACAGCGTCGAGTCAGAATATTTCCGTTACGTTTCTGCAGGTACGTATCCGAAACTCAGCTAGTGGCAGCTGCGGAGGGACTGCGAGTCCAGCTGCTGCTGTGGGCGCAGCAGCAGCAGAGTCCGCATTTGGCGCTGGACAGGCCTGATGCGCATAATGGGTGCTGGAAGCTGCTGGTGAGGCAGGAGGCTACTCCCATGTTGGCCGTTGCCGCACCGGTGTCCATGCTGCTGTTTAAATGGGGAGCAGGGTAGCACTGTCAGGGTCAGCAGCAACAGCAGGCGGTATCTGTGGTTATCTATGGCTGCTGCAGCTGGGACTAGCTGGCGAGGGAGTCCGTAGAGCGGAGCAGCAGCTCCTGCTGAGTACGACAGAGGAGTTGATCGTGTTGCGCTGCACCGAAGCAGCCGCCGCGTGGCCAGTGAATTTGTCATCTTCCCATCAGCGGCAGGTGTCACAGCTGTACGAGAGCTGCAGGCGATTACTAGAGGTATGCAATTTATTTCTAAGGACGTATACACATTAGTTGTAGTGGCGTCACTCATCAATAGTACGCAATTGCCCTGTGCGCTTGCGGCTTCTGCAGATTTTGCAACGCCGCTTCCTTGGTACTCCAGGGGAAGTAGCAGCAGGAGCAGCACCCACGGAAGAACGCAAACGCATTATCTCCCTGGCTCGATTCTCCCTGGCAGCTGCAAGGCTTGACGCCTTCAGGCAGCGAGGCTGCAGCAGCCTCACAGAGGAGGAACCGCCATTGCAACTCCAGTTGCAGGAACTGCAGCAGCAAGCTGCTACAAGGCTTCTTCAGTGCATCCGGGTGCTGCAGAATGAGCAGCAGGCAATGTTGACTCTGTTTAGGGGGGCTGCACCATTGCTGTTTCTTGTGCCCACAGTCCATTCCGAGCACCAAACGCAGGAGAAACCCTTGCATCGCCAGCACCAGCAGGCACAACAGCAGCAGCAGCAGCTCATCGATGCAGCAGCACGGCTTCTACGGTTATCCAGGAGCAGCGCCAACTGTGTCCGGTCGTTCCTTCGATCTCTCCACACCGCACACTGGCCTCTCAATCCACATTTTGCTGAGACAGTGTTCAAGCTGCTGGCAATTAGGGCAGCAGCAGCAGCAACGACTACAGCTGCGGCTGCTACAGGGGTCTCAGGGAATACAGACGCAGACACGCAGAGTGGGACTGTTGACGATGAAGAACTAGGAGTTGTTGCAGATATGTCTTTATTTGCAGCCGTACTGACGCAAAAGCTGCAGGGCCATGCCGGTGGTGAGGAGAAGCACGCAGCGGCAACAAAAGGAACAGCAATCATGGGGACCACAAAGAGGGACCCGATGTGTTTGTCATCGGCGGAGTCCGCCAAACTTCTGCGGTGTATGGATGGCATTTTCGATCTGCTTTCAAGGCTGGTGAATCAACAGCAGCAACAGCAGCAACAGCGCGGTCGCGAGCTTAAGCAGCAACAGCATCACTCCCAGGCTGCTGCCTTTGCTGCGCGAACGGCGTGGGGCTGGCTTAGAGTTGAGCATCTTGCTGCTCTTTTACGAGCTTCCGAGTGGCGTCTGCTGCATGCAACAACAACACCACCAACCACAGGAAATAGTGCAACGCTTGCCACCACTGCACCGGAAGAAAATGTCATTCCTTCAAGAGCAGCGGATTTTCAGGCAGTAGCAGCAACAACAATGATTGAAAGGTTAACGCTTTCAAGTGCAGAAGCTCCACAACAAGATTGGATGGCAAAAGCCCGAGATGTATTTGAGACGGCTTGGCAGTTGCTGCTGTTAGAGGCAGCACAACCCAGCAGAAAGTGTGAAGACAGCCCATCTGTAGACCCTTTGCCATTGGGGGCCTACCTAGACTTGAAGGCAGCGTTCCACAACTACAAGACAGCGGAAGTTCACCCGAATGCAGTGCTGCTCCCAGCATCGTTCGCCGCTGCTGCTGCTGGTGGTGCAGAGACTGGAACTGATAACACCTGGAAGCCCTCAGGCGATGCTGAAGCTGAGGGCGTCTCCATTTTACTGCGAAGGATGACCGCAACAGCAGTTGCAGATGCCGCGGGCATTGTACGGGGCGGCAACCCCACTGCTAAGCATTCCGTACAGGAGGAGCCACACATATTGGATCTACCAACTTCACAGTCGACATTTCATTTTTATAGACTGCGTCTTCGCGTTGCTGATGATGGGCAGCACTTTGCTCAGCAGAAAAACAGCAAGCAGCAAGTGCAGCAGCAACACCCACAGCTGCAGCGCCAGCCGCAGCAGCATCAAGGTCGGGTGAAGCACTGGCTTTCCCCTACTCCTTTAGATTTGAGCATGCACCCACTGCTCCATCATTATCTCTGCTAGGGAGCGCTGACACTCCGGCAGGAGTGTTGAGGTTGTGGATGACCCCTCACGCGCGATTTGGGTTTTTATGGATATGAAGGTTTTTTATCTGTTGTGTAGTCTATTTGGGTCGTCTCTTGAAACGCATGAAATTTGAAGGAGGGTCCACCGCTGACTCGTGCAACGTTGAGCTGCATCATCAGTTGGTGCCAGTAGCCCGCTACGGTTACTACTACTGTTACTACTTATCTCAGCCATTTGTCATTCCTTCCGCTTTCTTGTTATCTGTAGTGCAGCATATACCCTTACTGCATCCGCTATTTTAGGAGTTGGCTTGACTGAGAGATGACATTACGTTGGCCGACTCGTCGAATCTCGGGATGGGCTCGACAAACTGCAGCAGTAGTTTCGTAGCTTCTGGGTCATAGTACAGTTTGCATCAGCATACTGCCTTAGCTGCGGCTGCATTCTTCACTTCTGAGGGAGGGGACCACTGGGCCTACACGCAGGTAAAGATAAGCGAATAGCATGGCAGAATGCAATCCTTCGACGAACGAGGCGAGCCAGGGGGGACGGTCGCTCTCGTGCTCCCACATCTTAAGTTGCCCCTAACACTAATGAACTAATAGGACACTAAGACACACACACTCGGTAGCAGCACTATGGGATTTTTCAGACGCGTGAAGACGGTTGGCTCGACATCCGGGCGTGCCGTAGGAGTTGGAGCTCCGTTGCATCCCCCTTATAAACTTTTTGCTCGAGGCAGCAACGCCGAACTCCAAACGCCAGCTATCAAATTTTCAGCTATCAAATTTTCAACGGAAGGTGGACTGTAGCCGGTTTGCAGTCAAGCTACTGGGCACCGCTAGCAACAGTGGTTGTCTCTGTGTATAGTCGTGCTCGTGAGTGTCTTCTATTCTTCCACGGTTCCTAGTGTGAACGGGAGGAGCATGTGGATGGAGACAAAGTGGTGTTACGGGAAGGAATGGCTACCGGTGAACAAGTGTCACTGAGGGCCAACGCCGTGAATGCTCCATCATTCAGTAGAAGGATCCGCTATCTACATGGTGATGAAGTGGATTGTGCAGTATCCTCATGCACTGTTAATAAGTGGTTTCAGCTTCCAATGTTTCCTAAAACAGCAAGAGGTTCCTTGGTCTGGAGTTGCTGCACCAGGTTAGTTACTGGGTGACTCTGGCTGTCTGCCAGGAGTGTCTAGTGCACATTGCATTCATTCCATTAGGGAAACCTGGTTCAACACCATAGTAAAATCCATATATGCAGATTTGCCTGAAAAGAAACCCAGGGAAGAAGGAGACAAGGTGGTGGTTGCAATTTGGCGAGCTTTTAGTCGCCAGGGTGTCGCCGCTGCGTGGTCCGCGATGGCCCGAGGCCTGGCCGGATAACAGAGAGTGCCCCCACGTTTGCCACGTGCATGCTGAAGATCAAATATTGTTGCATGTTTCTTGCACGAACGTTGATGTATTTTGTGACCATCTGTCTCAATCTGTCTTGTTTTGGCTCAGGAAAGGTGCTATGCTCGTTCAGCGCCGCGTCCTGAATCGACGGAACCTTGCTACCACCAGCGAGCTACCTTTCCTATAGGCTTTTTCTGACTACACAATATTTTTTACAAGCATCCCGTGGGAGTTTCCTAATGTTCCATACTATTTCAAAGGAAATAGTATTTTGGCATGCGGTTGGGGCACCATGCATCTCCCGCCGGCAAGCCGGACGAGGTCCGTGCGACCTCTTAGCAGAAACTCCAACAAGACCTTCAGGTTACTCCTAATCCTGCACATAGGGTCAGGCTTACTAGCATTTTCTGTAGTGTCCGCATCCTCCACAGAAGTAGAGCTGCCCAGGTCGTTGCGCTCACACGGGAGCTCCTTCGTACGAGAACTTCAACGCAGAGAAAACTTCGCGACGACAGCATCCGAAACTGGCCCCTTGTACAGTGCGAGGCGTGCACAACAGTCCAGTCCACGAGGTGGAAGACCATCAAGCCCAGGAGGCAGGCCCCAGGGTCCTGCAAGCGGGCGGCCCTCAAGTCCAGGAAGTGGGCCATCTAGGCCTGTACGTGGCGAACCATCTAGTCCTGGAGGACGACCAAGTGGTCCAGGAGAAGGACCCTCCAGTCCAGGCGGAGGGGCAAGTAGCCCAGGAGGAAGACCATCCAGTCCAGGCGGAGGCCCATCCAGTCCAGGAGGGGCACCATCCCGCCCAGGAGGGGGACCATCTACTCCAGGAGGAGCACCATCCAGTCCAGGCGGGGGACCATCTAGTCCAGGAGGAGCACCATCTAGTCCAGGTGGGGGGCCATCTAGTCCAGGCGGAGGACCAACCAGTCCAGGAGGAAGACCATCCAGTCCAGGCGGAGGAATAACTGGTCCTGGAGGAGGAAGACCTGGGTCTGGAGGAGGACCATCTAGTCCAGGCGGGGGACCATCCAGTCCAGGCGGAGGAACAACTAGTCCTGGCGGAGGAGCATCCAGTCCAGGCGGGGGACCATCTAGCCCAGGAGGAGGACCATCTAGTCCAGGAGGAGGACCATCTAGTCCAGGCGGGGGACCATCTCGTCCAGGCGGGGGACCATCTCGCCCAGGAGGAGCACCATCTAGGCCAGGAGGGGGACCATCTAGTCCAGGTGGAGGACCAACCAGTCCAGCAGGAGGACCATCTAGTCCAGGCGGAGGAACAACTAGTCCTGGAGGAGGAGGACCTGGGTCTGGGGGAGGACCATCCAGTCCAGGGGGGGCCCCATCCAGTCCAGGGGGGGCCCCATCCAGTCCAGGGGGGGCCCCATCCAGTCCAGGCGGAGTAACAACTAGTCCTGGTGGAGGACCATCCAGTCCAGGAGGACGACCATCCAGTCCAGGCGGAGGAACAACTAGTCCTGGAGGAGGAACATCTACCCCAGGAAGACCATCTGATCCAGGAGGAGGATCATCTAGTCCAGGCGGGGGACCGTCCAGTCCAGGCGGAGGAACAAGTAGTCCAGGAGGACGACCTTCCAGTCCAGGCGGAGGAATAATTCGTCCAGGAGGAGGACCATCCAGTCCAGGAGGAGCACCATCCAGTCCAGGAGGAGCACCATCCAGTCCAAGCGGGGGACCATCTAGTCCAGGAGGAGGGCCATCCAGTCCTGGAGGAGGAACAAGTGGTCCAGGAGGAAGACCGTCTAGTCCAGCCGGAGGCACAACTACTTCTGGAGGAGGGACGTCTGCCCCAGGAAGACCTGACTCTGGAGGGGGACCATCCAGTCCTGGAGGGGGACCATCGAGTCCAGGCGCAGCACCAAGTGGTCCAGGAGGAAGACCATCTAGTCCAGGAGGAGGAACAACTAGTCCAGGAGGAAGCCCATCCAGCCCAGGAGTAGGCCCATCCAGCCCTGGAGGAGGACCATCCAGTCCAGGAGAACGACCATCCACTCCAGGAGGAAGACCATCTAGTCCAGGCGGAGGCACAACTAGTCCAGGAGGAGGACAATCTGGACCAGGAGGAGCACCATCCAGCCCAGGAGGAGCACCATCTAGTCCAGGCGGTGGACCAAGTGGTCCTGGCGGAAGACCATCCAGTCCAGGAGCACCATCCAGTCCAGGCGGAGGAACAACTAGTCCTGGAGGAGGAATATCTACGCCAGGACGACCTGGATCAGGGGGGGGATCATCCAGTCCAGGCGGGGGAACCACTAGTCCAGGGGGAAGACCATCTAGTCCAAGTGAAGGCCCATCCAGTCCAGGAGGGGGGCCATCTGGTCCAGGTGGAGGACCATCCAGTCCAGGAGGACGACCATCTAATCCAGGAGGAGGCGCATCCAGTTCAGGGGGACCACCATCCAGTCCAGGAGGGGGGCCATCCAGTCCAGGCGGAGGAACAAGTAGTCCAGGAGGAAGACCATCCAGTCCAGGCGGAGGAATATCTAGTCCAGGAGGAGGAACGTCTACCCCAGGAAGACCAGGATCAGGAGGGAGACCATCCAGTCCAGGCGGGGGACCATCTAGTCCAGCCGGACGACCAAGTGGCCCAGGAGGAGGACCATCTCCCCCAGGAAGACCTGGATCAGGAGGGGGACCATCCAGTCCAGGAGGAGGACCATCTAGCCCAGGAGGAGGATCATCTGGTCCAGGAGGGGGACCAAGTAGTCCAGGAGGACCATCTGGGCCAGGCGGAGGACCAAGTGGCCCAGGCGGAGGAACAAGTAGTCCAGGTGGACCATCTAGCCCAGGAGGACCATCCAGTCCAGGCGGAAGACCAAGTGGCCCAAGCGGAGGACCATCTGGCCCTGGAGGAGGACCATCTGGTCCAGGAGGAGGACCATCTGGTCCAGGAGGAGGACCATCTGGTCCAGGAGCAGGACCATCTGGCCCAGGAGGAGGACCTTCTAGTCCAGGAGGAGGACCAAGTGGTCCAGGAGGAAGACCATCTGGTACAGGCGGAGGACCTAGTGGTCCCGGAGGAGGACCAAGTGGTCCAGGAGGACCATCTGGTCCAGGCGGAGGACCATCTAGTCCAGGCGGATCACCGTCTAGTCCAGGCGGAGGACCAAGTGGTCCAGTAGGACCATCTGGTCCAGGCGGAAGACCACCTACTCAAGGAGGAGGACCATCTGGTCCAGGAGGGGGACCGAGTGGTCCAGGCGGAGGACCATCTGGTCCAGGAGCAGGACCATCTAGTCCAGGAGGAGGACCATCTAGTCCAGGCGGAGGACCATCTGGTCCAGGAGGGCGACCAAGTGGTCCAGGCGGAGGACCGTCTAGTCCAGGAGCAGGACCATCTGGTCCAGGAGGCGGACCATCTAGTCCAGGCGGAGGACCAAGTGGTCCAGGTGCAGGACCAGCTGGTCCAGGAGGAGGACCATCTGGTCCAGGCGGAGGACCAGGTGGTCCAGGAGGGGGACCATCTGGTCCAGGAGGGGGACCGAGTGGTCCAGGCGGAGGACCATCTGGTCCAGGAGCAGGACCATCTAGTCCAGGAGGAGGACCATCTAGTCCAGGCGGAGGACCATCTGGTCCAGCAGCAGGACCATCTGGTCCAGGCGGAGGACCATCTGGTCCAGGGGGAGGACCATCTTCTCCAGGCGGAGGACCATCTGGTCCAGGGGGAGGACAATCTTCTCCAGGCGGAGGACCATCTGGTCCAGGCGGAGGACCAAGTGGTCCAGGAGGAGGACCAAGTGGTCCAGGAGGAGGATCTAGTGGTCCCGGAGGAGGACCAAGTGGTCCAGGAGGAGGACCATCTGGTCCAGGAGGAGGACCATCTGGTCCAGGCGGAGGACCATCTGGTCCAGGAGGGGGACCAAGTGGTCCAGGAGGAGGACCATCTGGTCCAGGAGGGGGACCAAGTGGTCCAGGAGGAGGACCATCTGGTCCAGGAGGGGGACCAAGTGGTCCAGGAGGAGGACCATCTAGTCCAGGTGGAGGACCAAGTGGTCCAGGAGGAGGACCATCTGGTCCAGGTGGAGGACCATCTGGTCCAGGAGGAGGACCATCTGGTCCAGGAGGAGGACCAAGTGCTCCAGGAGGAGGATCGAATGGTCCAGGAGGGGGACCAAGTGGTCCAGGAGGAGGATCAAGTGGTCCAGGAGGGGGACCATCTGGTCCAGGAGGAGGACCATCTGGTCCAGGAGGGGGACCAAGTGGTCCAGGAGGAGGACCATCTGGTCCAGGAGGAGGACCATCTGGTCCAGGTGGAGGACCAAGTGGTCCAGGAGGAGGACCATCTGGTCCAGGAGGAGGACCATCTGGTCCAGGAGGGCGACCAAGTGGTCCAGGAGGACGACCATCTGGTCCAGGTGGAGGACCAAGTGGTCCAGGAGGAGGACCAAGTGGTCCAGGAGGAGGACCATCTGGTCCAGGAGGGGGACCAAGTGGTCCAGGAGGAGGACCATCTGGTCCAGGAGGGGGACCAAGAGGTCCAGGAGGAGGACCAAGTGGTCCAGGAGGAGGACCATCTGGTCCAGGAGGAGGACCATCTGGTTCGGGCGGCGGAGGCCCATCAAGGCCAGGAGGTGGCGCCCCGTTTCCACCACTGTGGGATCCACCTATTCCCCCTGTTTGGCTTCCTCCGTTAGAGTTTCCGCCGTCCTCGCCAGAGAGCCCACCTCCTGCTGGTCCAGGCGCATTTCCACCATTCAGACCTGGTGGCCCACCTGCCTACGGTCCAGAAGGTCGCCCCCCTTATCCCCCAGACACTGGCCCCCCTGCGGGACCTGGCATTCGCCCTCCGCTTGGTCCAGATACCCTTCCCGGCCCAGTTCCACCTTTAGGACCAGGGTCAGGTCCTCCATCTGGCCCAGGCAGTACTCCACCAGGTGGTCCAGGCATACGTCCACCTTCAAGACCCGGCGGGGGTCCTCCGTCTGGGCCCGGTATTACGCCACCAGGTGGTCCAGGCATACGTCCACCTTTCGGACCCGGCGGGGGTCCTCCACCTGGACCCAGTATTCGCCCACCAGGTGGTCCAGGCATAAGGCCACCTTCAGGACCCGGCGGGGGTCCTCCATCTGGACCCGGCATTACTCCACCAGGTGGTCCAGGCATACGCCCACCTTTAGGACCAGGG